CCCCCCCCCAGCTGCAAGCAACCAGCTGCCACCTGAGGCAGCACCTCCCTCCAGGAGAAGATAGGAAAGTAGAACCCATCAATGGCGTGCCGGGGTGGCAGGCCATTGAGAGCTGGAAGAGAAAGCTGTTATTTTTCCCTTGGCAAACCCATTTCCCAGGTATGACAAAGACTGTCTCTTTGACCAAACTTTTAGGCAGGCTCCTCTGAGCCCTCTTTTCAACTAAGCCTCATTGTTGCGCTTCTGTGTCCATCCTTCCAGAGTTCAGTTTTAGAAAGTTTTAGTTCCACTAAGTCAGTTTAGAGAGAATCCTCTACCCTCTGTATCTGATTACCCTTGGTATCTGATCCAACGCCTCATCCCCCACCCTCCTCCAGGTGATACCTGTTCACCCTGGGCCTGCCTTCCACGAGTACCCTCTTAGGTCATCTAGCAAGAATCCCCATACCCTTGACATGTGCTCTTCCTAATATTCATCCTCTAACCATGCTTGTCCTTGTTGCATTTGGAGTTGAGCTCCACCTCTCTCCCCTATCTCGATAGTCTTGACTTCTATTATGATGCTCCTGAAGCCTTCCTTGCCATTAATTATTCCTTACCGAATAATTTTTCCTCCAACAGGTAATATTAAAAGCAAGCAGACAAAAAAAAAAAAAAAAAGATGAAAAATCTTAAAGGTCCCCTTGTCCACCGAGGAGACGGCTGTCACGCTGCTCTGCGGTTCCCACAGCCGTCCTTGCTGCCTGGGGCACCCGTAAGAACTGGCCAGCCTTGCTAACCCCCAGACTCCCCTCTGGCACTCAGGGCGGGGGGGTCACTGCGAAGGAGCAGGTGCTCACCCGCCCGTGGGTTCCACCACAATGTCTCGGGGACGGTCAAGGTTCTCCCAGATGAGCACCGTCCTCATGCTGCCGTCGGTGTTGGCCACTTCAATCCGGTCTGTCCCTACCAAGGAGCAGGGGTGAAGATATTAACGCCAGCCTGGGTCATTCACCCTCTTACCTTCCGTGCCCAGCGCCNCTCTGTGAGGGTGGCTCTGTTGAGTACAGGTATCTGCAGATGAGTTTTATGAGCTGCCTGGCTGTCCAGCTTTTGGGAAACAATCATGAGGATTGTTACCAATACACCGAGTCTCGACCAGGTGGAAGATTCTAGTCATGACTCGGTATATTGGTAACCCAGGAAGTTGAGTTTCTCTTTCAGGGAGAAGAATCTAGAGACATGGACAGAAGTCTCAGCAGCTCCAGGCACCAACCTTGTTGCTGATCCTTGGCAGAGTTGGACCACCACTCTGTGAGTGGCTATCAAAGCTGATACCTGTGTACTGAGGACCTGACTTAAAAATGGAGCCTGAGCTCACGGCCACCCTCCTCCTCTGACAGCCTACTATCATTGAGGGACACTGGCCAATGGCCACTATGGAACCTTTGATATCTGGAGCTCTGGTTGGCTCGGCCTGAAGATGAACAACCACATGGGTAGACCTGGTCTTGCCCTCTCTCAACAGGGACTCCTCTCCATGGGCCACATCCAGGAGGAGGATTCCACTCTCCAGTGTGCGCCATTTGTATTCATTACACTTGGGAACTAAAAGAAACCCTAAATATCGGGCTCACTCCTTCATTTGAGTGCTGGGACCTGGAACATTGGGTGGAATCCCTTGCCCAATGTCAACCAGCAAATGTGTGGGCAAAGCCAGGACCAGAATCCAGGACTGGACTGAGGACAGCTCCCTTTCCCCTTAGGGGGACTCCCTGCAGAAGGGACTCAGAAATGGATCTCACAGCTATTTGTCACCTTTGCACTTGGGAGAAAACTACCCTTTACTAAAGTCTTCTTTGTGGGAGGAGGAAATAAATAAGAACCCACAGCTCAGCAGGGAATACAATTTTAAAAATAAGCCTCCGGGCCAGTGCATTTAATGCCCGCCCCGTGGGGATCCTCAGCCCATAACTAGGAGCACAATGGCTTTTCTTGTTATGAATGAGTGTGAAGTGCCAGCAGAGGAAATAGGAAGCCCCCAATGTAGCCTGAATGGACCTGTGAACAGGGATAATAAAAGTTGTCCTGGATTTCCGTTACCACCAGGTGTTTCCGCCGGGACTTCTATTCATTCAGGCTCGGGGATGGCCACGGGTGCCAAACCTTCCCGGGCCCTGACCCCGGCTCCTTGCTCCATTCCCCTGACCTCCCTGCCTCCACTAGAGGCCACTTGGGCCTAGACCCCTGGATCTCGGTGATGGACACTCTCTCACCCCTGGGACCCCAGCTCTGTGGAAGGGCAAAGGGTGGGAGGGAAGAGGGGTCACCAGATTACAGGCCCCACCCAGTTTGATAAGAGAGGCTCATGAGAGGGTACCCAGGTGTTCACGGAGACAAGTGGTCGTGAGCTATGGGTGACAGAGACATGGGTAGGGACTCAGGCCAGGAACCATGAGGTCCCCAGCAGTAGGGAGGATTGGGTTAGAAGCTGAAAAGGACGCCATCTGTGAAGGAGGCTGAGAAGAAGGCACACGGCGGGACAGCTGGAGGCAGGTGCCCAAAGGTCTCCCCTGGAGTCTGACACTAACCGCCCTGTGACCTTGAACATGTCACTCCCTCACCCAGCCTGCCCCTTAGCTCCCAAAAGGGATGGTTGGAACTTGCTGCCCATTCAGGGCTATTTTCTGTGATCTGGCATGGGATTGTAAGACAGGAATGCTTCTAACCAAGAGGGAAAGAGAGGCTCTGATCTCAAATACCCATGAAAAACAGGGAAGAGCACATATGAGCGAGGTTGGCCTGGTGTAAGAAAGGGAACTGTGGGGACAGGAGTCCACAGAGCACACATCTGCCTGCTGCCAGGTGAGGACCTCACCAAGGCAGCCTTCCTGTCACCAGATGCTGAGGAAGCCACTGAAATGGCAAGGCTGTGTTTTAACCATTTTAATTTTGAAATAGGTGGGTTGGTGGGAGGGACTTATTCTCTTGGGGCAGAAAATGTATCATAAATGACTTGGCTTTCTGCGCAGCAGGTGGTTTTACAACACACCCCACCTGGGTGGACAAGAAATCTTGGACCAACCATGTCCCCAACCCCTGCCCGGGGAATCAGTCACTCCTCCCTTGTCACAAGTAGAAAGGTCCACCTCCTCCAGAAAGCTTGTCATGACTGCCCAACCCAGAAGGACACTACCTGGAATCCATGGACAGCTGACCCCATGGTCACTAGAATGTATTAGTGGAGATCTCTCCATTCTGGCAGCATCACTACAGCAGGCAGAAAACTTTCTGACTGGAAACCTTAAGTCCTACCCCTTCTAGCCTCTCTTGGTTCCTTCCACAGGACAGGTCGGTGAGCCAGGCAATAAACATGTACTAAGAACCCACTGGGAGGGTAGCAGCCAGCTGGTTGCCAATGTTTGGAGAGCAAGTTCTGACTATGGACAGTCCAGGTGTCTGATTGCCATCTTTATTAGTCACCTAAGGCCTTTGGTAATTAGCAATTAGAGTTACACATCACAACACCCAAGATAACGTACAACTTCGCTTCCTCCAGGCAACAAGGATGATGATGAAAATGGTGATGTTGATGCCACACAGATAAACAGCTTCAGAGCACATACAGAGCCATATATTTTTCGTACCAGATATTTCACTTTGGGTCTAACAACTGCACTATGTAAGAAGGGCGCGTATTATTGTACAGGTAAGAGCATGGAGGCTCACAGAGGCATGTGGGTCACATGCGTGTTGGAGGTCTCATAACGAGTGAGTGACAAAGACAGTCTTTTGCTTCCTCAACCAAGAAAGTCAGGTCTGCAAAGGACTGTCTACCACAGGGCAGCACTCAGGAGATGCTGCTTGGGCAGAATGTTGTCCACACTGAGGAAATCTGCTGGGCTCCGAACACCCCCAGGACTCGATGACATCAGTGTTTCTTACAACATGGGAACCCTGGTCTCCCTCCAGCTCTTTGAGAAGCTTGCTGACCCAGGGCCTGTGCTGGACCAGAAACAAGGCGATAACACCCTCCCCTCTCTACGCGCCAGTCTGCACACAGGAGCTGGATGCAGGACTGCCAGAGGCAAAGCAGACAGGCAGTGTGGCGGGAATGAGGGTGCCAAGCCGGAGGGCACACATCTGTCAGATTATGAGGCAGCTGCCTACTAGCTGTGCAGTCCTGGAGGAACACGTTCCCCTCTGAGCCTCAGCTTCCTCACCTGTAAAATGAAGGAATTAAATTGGATACTCTGTATTTCTTCCAGTTTTATTATTGAATGATTCTACAATAGCTCCAGTGCCCTTTGGGGCCCACTTACACCTTCTAGAAGCCCAGTCAGTGGAGGCTGCTAAGAAGCCATCCCCTCATCTCGAAGAAGAAAAAAACTGAGAGCAGAAAGCAGGTGCTGCTTTGAGTGGAGAAGGTCTTTCCCATCTGTGCTTAGCCACTTCCATTCAGGTCAAGCCTGGATTGGAGCAGCAAAGCCAAAGCCACACCCGGCCTTCGCCACCCCCTCCTATCCCTGCTGGCTCCAGCTCTCTCTCCTTCCCTAGGGCACTGTCTCCCACGCCCTTTCTACTGTCAAACCGCATCATTTGCAGTTTTGCAATTTCCAAACTGAGCTCAGACTCTCACTTTCCAGAAAGCTCCACAGGCACAAACCAGGACGGCCCCGCCCGCCACCTCTCCCATGCTCCCCTTAGCCGAGCTAGAACTTACCATGCATTGGGGAGGCTGTTGACTGTGAATTTCTTTCTGATTTGCATGCTTTGTGGAAGGGGAGGATGGGAGGCGGGAGGACAGGTGGGTTGAGGTCACCACAGGTTCATGCGGATGCAGCTTTGCACCTGGGTGTCTGACTTGGCCTACAGGCGCTGCCAGGGCTTCGAGGTGGCTAACCCAGCAACAAATCAGCCATCCCAGGGCTGAGAATTCAGTCATGGAATCCCCTTGGAAGGAGGACCACTGGCAAGATTGCTGCTTTCATGCCTTCGTAACAGTTACCAAGTCATCAGCCCCTGAAAGGCTCTTGTTTATTATACCTTCTCTGTTTTACTTTCTGCTGCTTCTCACTAGGAAGAAAGCACCAGGGGAGGAGGTTCTTGTTTGTTACGCCCGCTACTGTGTCTCCAGGCCTGGAAAGGCACTGGTAGGCACTCAGTGGACGGTTTGGTGAATGAAGAAATAAACCCTTGTCATCATTATCCCCCAGTAAAGGACATGGAGGCTCAGAGAGGTCAAGTTATTTGCCCATGACACACAGCTAATAACAGAGGCAAGACCCCATCCCAGGTCTTGGGAACCCGAGTTGATCAACCGTCTCACGCATCATGAGACTTACTTCATTGTCCTTGAAAGCAGTGGCAAGCTCAAGTCAGATGCCTTCTCCTCCTGAAGTTTGCTTAGCTCTCCTGAGCCCAAAAGAGTAAAGGAAGTTGCACTACCCTTGTGGCTTAGCATATACCACAGTTGTCTCGAATTTCAGTTAGGGGTTTACCATCTTGTTTTCTCCTCTATTTTGGAGTCCAGTTCAATAAATATTTGTTGAGATCTGCACACATATATGGAGTACTGGATAGATCTTATTTACCTGGGCCCAGCTGTGGTTGGCTCCCAGGCCCTCCCTGAGAGTTGGCACTTGAGGGCAGGATCTGTGTCTCTCATCCCCATTCAGTACCTGCGTGGAACTGAACTGAATCTTCTGCTCCCTTTATTGGTGCCCGCCTGCCTAGTAGGTTCCTTCTGCAGGAGGTCCTCGGCTGGCCCCATCCTGAGCCTGTTTCCTTTGACAACAAAGTTCCCATTTTTCTGCAGACCCAAGGCAGAGCTAACACCTGCTTTAAGGGAGGTGCAGAGGGGAGACTTCCTTTCTCCAGGTTGTCTCTTTCCAGGGAGTAGAGGCTGGAGATTGGTTGCTGGGGTCCAACCAGGGCCCCTGACTTTTACCTGCCAAGCCTGGGAA